GCGCCTACATTTAACTCTAGACCTAGCTAGATTCAGGCCTCAATGCTTCAACTTTTTACCCATGATATATTTTGTACCTTTGGAAGTATAGTTTTTTAGTCTGTGAAATGTGGTTTCAGACCCCTGCTCTGCCTTCATATACAGTTGTTGTGAAGATTAAATGTAATAATTTATGTGAAGCTGTAAAGTATCAAACTACTAAGACTTTGGGAGCGGGACTTAGCAGGCCCTGTGTGTTAAGAAAGACGATTATTGTCCATTGATCTAGAGCATAGTGAAAATTCACCCTGTACTTTAAGATCTTGTGCACACACATAAGTCTGAACTTTTCTTCTTCTTTTTTTTTTTGAGACAGAGTTTTGCTCTTGTTGCCCAAGCTGGAGTGCAATGGCACGATCTTGGCTCACTGTAACCTCTGCCTCCTGAGTTTAAGCGATTCTCTTGCCTCTGCCTCCAGAGTAGCTGGGATTTTAGGCACGTGCCACTGCATCCAGCGAATTTTTTGTATTTTTAGTAGAAACGGGATTTTACCATGTTAGCCAGGCTGGTCTTGAACTCCTGACCTCGAGTGATCCGCCTGCCTTGGCCTTTCAAAGTGCTGGGATTAGGGGTGTGAGCCACCACACCCGGCCTAAGCCTGAACTTCTAACCTTGCACCAGATGTGGCTGATGGGTTAAGTCATGAGTTATTTGTCTAGGTTCTTCTGGCTTCCCATGGCATCTCACTAAAGTTCTTAAAGCTCTTCCCCATCCCACACTCCAACTTCTTGAGGAAGGAGAAAAGGCAAAAAACATAGTTTGCATCGGTGATAGCCCCAAACTATGACTTAACACATCCCCTTTCACTTCTGGGGTAGATATAGGGTTATAAAAAACAGAATCAACACTGCTCATATTTAAAACATCTTTCTTGCTTTTAAAATTTTCTTTTGCCCACCCACATTTATTAAATATAGAGAATATAAAAAGGCTTCTATCATAAAAATATCTATTAAGATAAAAATATTAGTAATCACTCCTGTTAAGGTAATAAATGAGTAAAATAGGGACCGAAACACAGGCGCTCAAACTCTTCCAGGCATATATTTCTTATTACTACTGAGGAATTCACCTTTATTTTAACAAAAAGGAGAAGTATCTGATCTGGCCCTTTATGGATGTTGGCTTGAGTAGGGTGGATCTGGAGTAGTATGCCTCCTTCCTCAGTCAGCTCTGGTGGGAGCATATGCCAAGATAGAACAGACACTGTATCAATTGGAATATCACTGCCAGAAAGGAAATAAGAAATTAACTGTGTTTATCAAGATCTGGAGTCACTACATGACTTATGTTATTTTTAATAAAAAAATATTATTGGTACTACTGAACAGTTTTTGAAAATCAAATTGTATAACAATAGAGAATATATTCTGGGGGCATGGGTGGTAATGACATTGACTAGGCCCCTAAGAGCATTATAATAGTGAGCTAAGATGTTCCCCAAAGATCTGGGAACATGGAGTTGTAATAACGGGGGTCTCTAGGTTCTTAATCCTGCTTGCAAAATGAGTATTTCAGGATTTAGCATCCTAATGCCCCCTGAGTGTAAAATACCTGTAGTGAGATCTAGAACAGAGCCCCATAATCAAATACATTGATTGAGGTCTACATCAAAATGTGTGAATATCACACTAAGGGGTTTAATAAGGACTATACATACACATCAGTTCAAGTTAGGATTTACTGCCAAATAAGTTCAGACATTTCATATTTTGCTAACAAATGTTTTATGTAAAACTTTTTATTTTCAGAACCTTTTGAATTTTGAAATCACACAGGGATTGTTGATCTATATTATGTTAAGGTGTTAGCTCCTTACCAGAGCGTATTTTAGTATATGTAAAGCAACCATATAGCAATTTTTTTTTTTTTTTTAAAAGACAGAGTCTCCCTCTGTTGCCCAGGCTGGAGTGCAGTGGTGTGACCTCGGCTCACTGCAACCTCCATCTCCTGGGTTCAAGCAATTCTCCCGTTTCAGTCTCCCAAGTAGCTGGGATTACAGGTGCCCACCACCATGCCCAGCTAATTGTTGTATTTTTAGTAGAGATGGTGTTTCATCATGTTGACCAGGCTGGTCTTGAACTCCTGACCTTGTGATCTGTCCACCTGGGCCTCCCAAAGTGCTGGTTTTACAGGCATGAGCCACCGTGCCTGGTTGCAAATTCTTATAAGACAATAGAGTTAGGAGCACCAGATCTGAAGTCACATTACCTGGTTTCGGATTCCAGCCTTGCCAAGTCATTTGGGGGTATGTTATTTAATCTCCCAAATGCTTAGTTTTTCATCTTTAAAGCTACAGTAATTTTGAAATGAAGACTAAATAAAATATACATGTGAGGCACAGTATTTGCATTGGCCTAGGCACTCAGTAAATATGCTTCAGTTTCTTCATCTATGTAGAGATAATAGTGTTATCTATATAGAGATAATGGTGTCATCTATATAGAGAAAATAGTGTTATCACAAAGATGTTTTATAATGGTTAAATAAATTTAATGTGCTTAGAATAGTGTCCACTCCATGGTAAGTATTCAGTAAATATTAGCCAATGTTAATATTATCATGAACATTACTAGAAACCTGTAATGAACTTTCCTATCACAGTAGAATCATTTTCAGAAGAGAAAATGACAATAAACATCTGTTGAATGAATGAGTGGCACATTGGAGAATGATGGGAGGCACCATGATGATTTGTAATTATAATTTTTCAGACTGTAATTTTATCCCAGTCCTTCTCAAGTTTATTTGCTTCCCTCCACTTTGCACTCCATCCCTTAGCCCCTCCAAAACTTCCCTCTAATCCCCAACAGCTTAATCTTCCATCATTTGGTCTGTTTAGATGTACAGCGCATGATGAACTTGGCTTCACTTGTCTTCTGTACCACACCATGCGTTATGTTAGGTGGGTTAGGCTGTCTAACACACAGCCAGGTGGGTTAGGCTGTCTGGGAAGCTGTCCCAGATGCAGACAAACCCTTGGCAGTAGGATGGAAAGGAAGAAGAAAATTTTGTCTGATATCTCCAGGTGTGACTCCTTACTCATCTGGAGAGTTCAGTGATGTCTTTAAAGCTTGAAGATAGGCCGGGCGCAGTGGCTCATACCTGTAATCCCAGCACTTTGGAAGGCTGAGGCGGATGGATCACCTGAGGCCGGTAGTTTAAGACCAGCCTGACCAACATAGAGAAACTCTATCTCTACTAAAAATACCAAATTAGCCAGGCGTGGTGGCACATGCCTATAATCCCAGCTACTATGGAGGCTGAGGCAGGAGAATCACTTGAACCCTGGAGGTAGACGTTGCAGTGAGCCAAGGCATTGCATTCCAGCCTGGCCAACAAGAGCGAAACTCCATCTCAAAAAGAGAGAAAAGAAAAGCTTGAAGATAAATGATGAAGTTGCTGCTCTTTTTTTTTTTCTCCTCTAACAGATACATAACTTGGATTCTCATTTGTTAGTTTGTTGTGTGTTAATCTTTTGTGATTACTCAGTAACAGTGCAGCTTGGTAAAGTCATAAGTCTGCAGAGACATTTTAAATAGAGTCAATGTATGGAGGAATAGGTGCCCGCTAGGGAGGATCCAGTGGAAGAATGTGTGTGCTTGTGTGCTGTAGTTTGGCCTAATGTCTTGGCATGGCTGTCATATTTCCTGGCATGTAAGAACTGGATCTTTTCTTAAGTCCACACATATTTGGCAAATCCTATTATGTTACTCTCCTGAGGGGGTGCTTGAGTAACCAAGGTGATAGATAATATTGGGTAGGTACTGGCTGAACAGGGATGTGAGAGAATATGGAAAGAATCCCTTTTAAAGAGCTTTATTGCATTAGATGTTAGTGTCTGTAAACAATTACAGCATTTGGGGAATGCAGGATTTAAATGAGAAACACAGCTTGGTCAGATTATACCAGTCGGATAAAATGGCATGGACTCCGGAAATCTATAATTAAATGTTTTTTGAAAATGAAAAATATAGTGTAACATCTGGTTTATTTCACTACAGAGGTGCCTGGGTGTTGCTTACATAAACGTGATTGACTTTGGCTGATACTTGGGTTTCTCTCTGTAAAACTGCTGCATTTTAATTAAATTTTTTTCTACTGAATTCTGTTTGTTGTAAACAATTATTCACATACTCATAGAAAATGATTTATTTAGAAAATCTAATGTTAGTTTTCTTTTCATTACAGCGGATATTCAACTCTTTTGTATACACTGAGAAAATCTCAAATGGAGAAAGTGAAGTGCAGCAGGTAAGAGGCTAGGACACTCAGTGTCTTTGTCTTGCTTTTAGATGTGGCTTCATCACTCTTTCCAAGCAGTCTCCACTTGAGGTTTCCTGTTCTTTCTCTCTGTATAATTTCACATGCATCGCATGCATAATGGCGACAACCTTACACTTTGGATCCTTAGAGGTGGTTAAAAAGTTATGTGCATGGTTTTCTGCTATCCATGCTATAATTTGGAACTATTTAATTCCTTTTTGTTTTAAAAATTCCTAAATGAGTCAACTATAAAAACATTGAAAATTATCTGATGTAGAAAATAAGGCTTTGGAATCAGACAGACCCCATGTCAATTTCAGGTTTTCCTCCTTACTTTGTGGCCACAGTAAGCAATTTAGCCTTCTTGAGCTGCAGTTTCTCAGTCTTAAATAAGAGGAATTTATATTTCAGTTTCTCAGTCTTAAATAAGAGAAATACTGCCTTATGGGGTGGTGAGAATTAAATGATGACAAATTGACCAGGAATGAAATAAAATTGTCTATGGGAAATTCTGGCATAGAAGCAGTTCATTGGGTGTTAGCTTCTCTTGTTCTTTTCTTTTGCTTTCCTCTTTTTTTTCTGTTTTCTTCCTTTGCTTCTCTCCTCCCATCTTCTTTCAGTTCTCTGTGGAATCAAGAAGTGTTGAGGTCAGAGTCTATTTACGTTATTTATAGCTGACTTCAAATGGACTGCCTCCTAAAACATAGTGTTGGTGAACCTGGTTATAAATAATAGATCTGTGCTTGAAAAAGAGTGGTAAATACGAGTTGGTTTTAATTTCAGTGAATACACCAACTTCTTTACAGTATGTGATCATCAACTAGTAATTTGAAGCTAGGTTTGAAACTCAAGTAAAAAACAGAACCAAGCTAAAAACCAGAATGTAGCAGAGTGCTTCCACAGAATAGAAAGATAACTGTAGTAAACTGCATACCATTTTAAACTCTGAGATTCCACCATTATTGTGTTCATGGAGAAGAGCTTGACTTGATCTGAACTTCAAAAGTACTATACAAGAAGAAAAGATGTGCAAGTATCATTATAGTGAAGTTGTGTGTAGGATACTTATTTACTTGTAAGAATTTACTGTGGTTTAATCTTGAAGTGCAGCATTTCCTGTTTACAGACATTGACTTTTTAAAGATTGGGTTCTGCGGGTTAAATATAGAGGATATAAGTAGTCACATATATGTATATTCTTTTTCTTAGTTTTAGATATTTTTAAAAGCTGATGCCCTGAGTATTTATTTATTGTAGTAAATATGGTGTGATTTGCTATGCTAAGCTTATCTTCATAATTCCTATCTTATTTTTATTTCAGCAAACTAGAAAGTTCTTTATAGTCATGAAATTTAAGAAATTTTTTATGAGAGAAGATTTCTCAACAAAGCATATTCAAGGAAACTTTCTGGGAGACCAGAGACCGCTTGATAACATTTTAAAGAAACTGATCTAGGGATATCAGTTTTGTCTCTTTCCCTGACGTAACAGATAGAAGTTCTTACTTAGGCTGTTTTCAAATGTGAAAGCTTTTTTTCTTTTCCTTACACTGATGTCATTTTTAATTTATCTAGCTAGGAACAAGTTTAGAAGCCTTTAATAATAATTTTAGAAATTATAGCTGCTGATAGAGTACTTATGGAATATCAGTGCTAGGCAACTTCCATATATATCATATTGATTTTTACCAAATAACCTTGAAAGAAAAGTTTCTTATTACAGATTAGAAATTATTAATGCTCCATGTCCATATTTTTTCATTAATTTAGAAGTTTAAAAATGCTGTATATGTTCTAGATCAGTGCTGTCCAAAGAGAACTTTTCTGAGATGATGATGTATCGTATCAATGCAAGTAGAGTAGCTACCAGCCACATATCACTACTGAGTACCTGAAATGTGTCTAGAGCTACTGATAATTACATTTTAAATAAAATAGCTACATGTGGCTGGTACTTACCATATTAGATTGCTGTGCAGATTTATGATTCATAAATAAGTCCTTTCAGTTTTTGCCTTGTCTTTTCATCTCATTTTATTGTTTTTATGTTTTGTTTTATTTTGAGATAGGGTTTCGCTCTGTCTCCCCAGCTTGAGTATAGTGGTACAGTCATGACTCACTGCAGCCTCCACCTGTGGGGCTCAAACAATCCTCCCACTTCTGCCTCCCAAATAGCTGGGACCACAGGCAGGCACCACCCCGCCCAGCTAATTTTTGTATTTTTTTGTGGAGATAGGGTTTTGCCATGTTGCCTGGGCTGGTCTTGAACTCCTGTTCAATCCACCGTTCTTGGCCTCCCAAAGTACAGGGATTACAGGCATGAGCCACTGCACGGGGTCTCGTTTTATCTTTTAAAGAGTTAAGGTTTTAATTTTAACTCAGTTTTTTTTTTTAATTGGACTTTTATATAGGAGAGTAAAGGTATTCTCCTATATTGCCTTCTAAAACTTCTCCCTCTCATTTAAGATTTTTTTTTTTTTTTGAGATGGGGTCTCACCCTGTCACCCAGGCTGAGTTCGATCTCGGCTCACTGCAACTTCCATCTCCTGGGTTCGAAGGATGATTCTTCTCTTAGTCTCCCGAGTAGCTGGGACTACAGGTGCCCACAACCATGCCTGGCTAATTTTTATATTTTTAGTAGAGATGGGGTTACGCCATGTTGACTAGGCTGGTCTCAAACTCCTGACCTCAGGTGATCTGCCTGCCTCGGCCTCCCCAAGTGCTGGGATTACAGGCGTGAGCCACCGTGTCTGGTTTCATTTAAGACTTTTATCCACCTGGAATTGATTTTGGTGTTGGATATGAAGTAGATATCCAATTTCCTTTTCTTCCCCAATGTATGCTTTCAAATGTTCTATCTCTGTCTATGGAACAATCTGTCCTTTCTTTATTTGTTTTCAGTGTGTTTTCTGACATTAGTTGAGTTCCTGTGTATGTATGAATTTGATCTGGTTCCCTTAGTCTATTTATCTATCCTTGTGCCAGTACCACCTTATCTTAATGACTAGTTTTATAACAAGTTTTGAAATCTGGTTGGGTAACACTCCCTCCATTTAGATTCCTTGGTTTCCCATCTTGGCCAAACTCTGAGGCTCATCTCCTGTCCCTGGTGCTCTGTGCTGTCATCAAAGTAGAAGCTGAAGGTCTCCAGATTATGCCCACATTCTCAGGGAGAAAGCAGGGTGTGACATGGGCTTACCCCCTAGATTTCCTGTTTCCACCTTGTTTGAGAACTCAGCCTTCCTAACAGCCCTTCAGCACTTTCCCCGCTTCTTAATAGTTATAAGAACAATTGTAACTCCTTATAGGATTTGTTTGATAAACTAAAAATAGGTTAGTTATTCAAAGCAGATTATTGACCTATGTGCTGTTTTAGCTCACAACCTTTAGGTGAAAGGGAACCGTTTCTTTATGTTTGGTTTTGTATATATTATGTAAAATTCTGTCTTGTGTTTTCTATCCATCATTTCTCCTTTCGGTTAAGAAAACTAGATCCCCATGGATTCTTGCCCTCCCTCTTTACTAATCAAATCTTGTTGAGAGTTGGATCTTTCTTGTGCATAGTATCTAACTTGGCAGAAAATCTAACATGTTGTTAATATCTTCTGGTTAGGGGAGCAAAGGAATTTAACGGTAGTAAAAAACATCTTGTGATTTTTTTTTTTTTATTACTCTTACCACAATACTCTCTAGGGTATACACTTTCCCTTGCTTTTTATTCATTATTTATTTTAAACTAACCTTCAGAGTGTGGGTTTAAATTGTCTAACAATATGTTTTAAATCCTTAATTAGTTCACTATATGTAGTTTTGTTGCCAAAGACAACAGTCTTGGAAAAATTGAAATTCCATGCACACATTCTTGTGTGGAACACCTCCCATAGACTTCATCTTTGAATACTTTAAGAAATTAAGTTGTGTGTGCATGTAAGTTTGTTACATGAAGTTGAACTTGAATCAAGAAAAATAAATTTTTGAGCAATTGCCTCAGAAAGTAGCAAAATACGGTGTATAAAACATAAAGAAGAAACAAAAGGAGAAGGAGCTTCTTGGGATGCTTCATTGGATCATTAAATGGATCAGAGCCACCTTGGACTTGTTTCAAGAGTTCGCCCTAACTTTTTCCCAAATGCTGTAGTAATTATTTCTATTAATAATTTACTCAATGAAAGAGTAAGCATATTTTAATAGTGTTACAGAAACTATTGAATTGATGGCAGTGATGGTTTTAGAGGATTTCAGAATTCTTTTGAAATGGGTCAGAGAGAAAGAACTAAGAGAACTGCTTAGATAGGAGGTATACCTGAAATTTGGTCAAGGGCATTCCTCTAGTAGGCCTCCCTGCTCTTCTGTGGTTTTTAATCTCTTTTGGATCATATCCATCACCATGTAAACACATTTCATCTATATTAAACAAACAAAAGACCCTTTTCTTGACCCCACTTTCCTCTCCAACTACTGTTTAATTTCTTTCTTTCCCTTTGAGTCACAGCCTATCAAAAGAAGTGTCCACACTCATTAGATCCAGTTCTGCCGTTTTCTATTAAGCCTACCTCAGTCCTGAAAGTCGCACAAAACTACTCTCTTTAAGGTTACCAAGGACCGCTACTTTGCTAATTCCTCATTTACTTAACTACCAGTAGTATTGAACAGTTGATCCTTTTCATCTTCCTTGATAGATCTTCCTAACTTGGGAACATCATGCTTCCCTCCTTGCCTTTCTAGGCACATTCCTTTACACAAGGTACTGTTCAGACAAAGCTCCCTATGGGCCCTCACCTCCTTCAAGTCTGTTCTCCCATGTCATTTTCTCAATGAGGTGAGCACCATATTCAAAGCTGCAGCCCACGCTGCTTCCATGCTCTTGATTTTCCTTTTTCCCCCATATCACTTGTCACTTTTTGGATTTAGGGTACTGACTTGATAGAACTAGTTTGGCTATGAAAACCCTGGAAGACAAGCTAGGCAATAACCATCCTGAACATTGGAACAGGCAAAGATTTCATGACAAAGACACCAAGAGCAATTTCAATAAAAGCAAAAATTGACAAATGGGATCTAATTGAACTTAAGAGCCTCTGCACAGCAAAAGAAGCTACCAACAGAGTAAACAGACAACTTACAAAATGAAAGAAAATTTTTTGCAAACTGTACATGTGACAAAGGTGTAGCATCCATCATCTATAAGGAACTTAAACAAATTTACAAGAGAAAAACAACTCCATTAAAAAGTAGGCAAAGGACATGCACAGACATATGATGTAATTCTATCATCATTCAGTTTTAAATATTTTCTGATTTCTCTTGTGATTTTTAAATTTTTGACCCATGGATTACTTTTAAGTATGTTGTTCAATTTTGAAAACATTTGGAGTCTTTAGATATCTTATTGTTACTGATTTCTAATTTAATTCCATTGTAATCAGATAACATACTCTGTTTGATTTCAGTCCTTTTTAATTAACTGAGACCTGGGTATTATGGCTCCACGTATGAATCAATCTTGGTGGATATACCAAGTGAACTTAAAAAGAACATATGTTCTGCAGTTTTTAGGTGTTCTTTATGTATTAAGGTGGTTGATAGTGTTGTTCAAATCATTTGTGTTTTGACTGATTTTTATTTTGTTTGATTTTTATTTTCTATCATTTACTGAAAGGGATGTTAAAATGTTCAAGTATAATGGTGGAATTGTATTTTTTTTCTTTAATTCTGTCCATTTTTGCCTGATATGTTCTTATATTCACATTTAAGATGATCATGTCTTCCTGATGAGTTATGAATTAGAACATTATGAAATGTTATTCTCCAGTAATATTATTCTCTCCTTGAAGTCTGTTTTACTTGATATTGATACAGCACCTCCATCCTTTATATACTTACTGTTTACATTGTGCACCTTTTCAGAAGGATTTACTTTCAATTATAGATAGCAAGTAGTTGAGACTTGCTTTTTAAAAATCTATTTTGAAAATTTCTGATTTTTTATTGGAAATATGTAATAAATTAACATTTATTTTAATTTTTTTCTGTTTTTTTATTAGCTTCTCTTTCCCAACTCATTTTTGAATTTTATCTATTAATATTCTATCAACTTCACACAAAATCTAAAACCCTTGCAAGTTACAGGTTCATTTCCCTAACACTGTCCTTTGTGCTAGTTATTATATCTGTTACATCAGCATATATTACAAACTGCACAAGAAAATGTTATAGCTTTAGCTCTAAATTGCCATATTTAATGAAATTAAAATTTAAAATCATTGTACATTCTCACATAATTACTATTTCTTATGTTCTTTGTTTCTTTAAAGATAACAACTGATATTGAATCTGAAGTTCCTTTAGTATTTCTTGTAGTGAAGATACTCTAGTGACCAATTATCTTAGTTTTTTTATTATTTTGTGTACACAGTAAATGTTTCTCCGATAGGTGCTGTGGCTTACACCTGTAATCCCAGCACTTTGAAAAACCCAGGAGTTCAAGACTAGCCCAGGCAACATAGGGAGACCCCCATCTCTACAAAAAAAAAAAAAATACTTTTAACTAGCTAGGAATGGTGGCACTTGCCTGTAGTCCCAGCTACTCAGGAGGCTGAAGTGGGAGGATTGGGTGAACCAAAGAGGTTGAGGCTATAGTGAGTTGTGATGGTGTCACTGCACTTCAGCCTGGGTAACAGAGCAAGACCCTGTCTCAAAACAAAACAAAAAGTTTCCATTTTGCCTATTTTCTTAAAAGATGTTTTTGCCTTAGATAGAATTCTGAATTGACAGTTTGTTTTTTTGAACACTTTAAAAATGTTCCACTCTCTGTTGGACTCCATAGTTTCTGACAGTAAATCAGTGAAAGTTTTTGTTACCCCATATACAGTGTTTTTTGTTTGTTTGTCTATTCATTTAATTATTCTGGCTGCTCTCAAGATTTTTCTCTGCTTCCTGGTTTTCAGCAATTTGACTATGATTATGCCTCCTTAGACATACAGTTTTAATATTTATTCTGCTTGGTGTTTGTTGAGCTTTTTGAATCTGTAAATTTGTGTCTTTCATCAAATTTGGGGACTTTGGGACCATTATTTTTTCAAATATATTTTCTGTCTCATTCTTTGCTCTCCTTCTAGGTCTCTGATTACAGGTATGCTAGATTTTTTGATGTCTTATTACAAATCCCAAGACAATGCCTTTTCCTTCTCTTTTCTTTTTTAATTTTTTTCTCTTGGATCTTCATATGATATAAAGGTAGTTTATTCTTATCTTCATTCTGCCGCTAACTTCAGATATATTTTTAATTTTCAGATATTGTATTTTTGTGGCTACAGAGAATTTCCATTTTCTTTTTAATCTATTTACTGAAATTTCTTGTTTTATTCAAGCATATTATTTTTGCATTCTTGAGAATATTTATAATAGTGGCTTTAAAATTTTGGCTGCTCATTATAACATCTAAAAATGCTTTGAGGTTGACCTCTGTTGACTGTGTTTTCTCTCGAGAACTGGTCACACTGCTTTTTTCTTCTTTGTCAAAAATTTTTGGTTGTATCCAGGTATTATGGAAAAATCTAGATTCTGTTATATTCCTGTGAGAAGTGTTTGTTTGTTTTAGCAGGCAATTAACTTGACTGGACTCAAACTGCTCATCTATATTTTAGACAACTGCTCAAATCTCATCTCAGTTTACCTTTAGATAGAGTTTGCCCTGCACACATAGTGTTCAGGAATTTAAAATTTTTTCTGCACCCCCCCCCCCATACTCTAGCATTTAAAATATATTCTGACAGTTTTTTGGATTATTTTTCTGAATTGTTATTTGATAATCAAAATTTTACCAGAAAGGTTTAAAATGTAATGTTTTATTTCTCCAAATATCTGCTGGGACATAGTCAAGGAGAAGCAGTTTAGTTTTATAAGAAAATGGTACTTAGCAGGTATTAATACTCCAAATAATTATTTTACTCAAGTATAAACTCAAGGCTCTAGACATGAAGGATTTGGACAAGGTCAAAGCAACGAACTAGAATTCTTCTGAAAGCAAGGTCTACATCTACAAAATTGTATCCTTTTATTCATAAGAGAATAAAGATGCCCGGTAGCAGAACAGCTTACATGTGGCCTGCAAACACAGAATAGCTCTTTCTTTAAGAAAATTTTGAATTGAGAGTGAACCTTAAAGAGACAGCACTTTTATGTGCCCCAATGTGAATCATCAATCCTAACTAATGTGATGTTTTAGAATTTTAGAGCTGAGAGGACCTCAGGTAGGAGACAAGGCCAAAGAGGTTAGGAAACTTTCTCTACTCTTTTTGGACAGCCCCAGTAAGGGTAGCATGGGATCCAGAATTAAAGAGCCTCATCTTTGGGATGGAAAACTCAAGGTCCAAGCAAGACTCTGTCATTTACTGTTCAATTTTTAACTGGTATTTAGCCTTTCAGTGTCTACATAAATTTTATCTATAAAATGTAGATACCAGGTTGTTTAAAAGTTTATGTGGCTGCCTACTCTGTAGCAGGCATTCAGTATTTTGTGTTCTGCCTCTAGAATGTAATGTAATGTCAATATAAGGCTACTGAAAGAGTTTATAAAATGTCATCCCAGAATATTACTTTGAACTGAGGGCACTTGGGGAACAGCAGGTGCAAGGAGAGGCTTTCTCTGAGCACCCCTTGCATGCAGAGCCTTTTCTCTGAGCTTCTCTTATCTGTCTAAAGGCAGATTCTCCAAAAGGAACTCAATTGTCATGAATCCCTCCCTGGGAATTTTTATCAACCAGGTAAGATTAACTCGGAACACAGGAGGGGAGACGAGAGGTTGACCTTATGCCCAGACAGACTATTACCTCTACTTGAGGGCTGCTCAGAAATAACTTTTATTACTGACTTTTTATCTGTATAACAAGGCAACCTTTATTCCCCATACATTTCCTCCCCTCACCCTCCCATAACTTGTGTCACCACCCCTCCCCCAGAAGCCCCAAGCCCCCATGCCTTTCTGTAACTTGGGATGCTGTATCAGTATCAATCATCTGACCTTCTTTGAGGCTTCTATTTTGTGAGACTCCTGTGCATACTTATGTAATTAAATATTTACATAAGTCTTTCTTCTGTCTTATGTCAGTTTAATTTGTAACCCAGCCAAGGAACCTAGAAGGGTAGAGGGATGCCATTTTCCTCTCCCCTGCAGTGTGCTACAGAGAAGATTGCTATTCTTGATTTGTTATTTAATCCTCTTGGGTAAGGCCTAGAAGGAAAAATCTATAAACTTTAAAAGGGGAATTTTCAAGAGAGAATATTCCCAGAAAGGCCCTGGAAGGGGCTAGTGGAAGCTTTAAGTAGACCCCAAACTAACTGAGAAGTGTGAGACTGGACATTATATTAGCTTTACATTTGTATTACTCCTGTACTTCTACTCTCAAACACTTTCCACTGTGGGAAAGTTTGATTGTGTTTTTGAATTGTGTACCGGGCCACAAGAAGAAAAGGGACAGCGGTTAGACAAGGAAGAGCAGGTGCAGAAGAGTGGAGCACTAGGCAGGCATTTAATACATATTTGGAATAATGACTGGAGATACTCTGGCACCTTAATTTCATATTTCCAGGATCTGGATTTGGGGTTGCCTTGCCAAGTATAATCTAGTGTGGTGGTAGCCTGAGGGGCCTCATTTTGTTTACAATTTTGCCTACCAAAGTATGTTAAAGGCTCAGACTTGTCCAGGCTACAGGAATCTGGAAGGTGGGGTGGATGAATTCCATTCTTTCTTTGTCCTCAACTTTTCCCTCATCTGTCCCCAGGGAATTTGTTCAGGTTCGATCTTGGTTTAGTTCACCCTTTTACCCAGATCCACACTTGGCTCTGTGTGCTTGCTAAATGTTTATTGAATGAGCCAGTGGAAGGCACTAAGTCTGTAAGAAGGCAGAAGAAAGCTTGAGAGGTATTGATGCCACCCAGATGGGGAATTTACAGTGAATCAAGCAAGGACCAGAGTAAACAGGGGGCTGTTCTGTCCAGCCAGAGCCCTGGCAAGTTTGCCAGGTTTAGTGTTTATGTTTCCTTGATTGGAAATCAATCTATGTCTGTCTTAGCTCTTCCTGTAGTTGGTCTGACTCTACAGAAAAGCTAGTTTTTGTTATCTTAGAAACCCTCTTCCTGAGCCACTTATCAAATCATTGTATTCCTTGTGAATAAGATAGGATGGTTGTCTGTCATTTCCGAAAGAGAGCCTTAGAGGAGACGTGATTGCTCTAATATTTATGTTTCTTTATTGATTTTCTTTGTGCTTCTACACACATTTTCTCATTTTATCCTCTTAATGACATAAGAACAGGTATTATTATCCTATTTTCCATAGGAATAAACTATTTCAGAGAGGTAATAACTATAAATGGTCCAAGACCTCAGAAATGAATGTGGCAGTAACAGGATGTTTAATCTAACCTTAGAGTTTTCTTTGTTTATATTGTACTGGCTGTGCAATAATCAGCATTATTTATTGAACATATGATTAATTAAGCACTGTGATTAAATCTTTCTCACATAATCACTTGGCTGGTTCCCTTACATCCTTTTATTCTTGGCTGAAATGATACCTCTCAGGTTCCGTGACCACACATTTATAAATTGTGTTAATTGAATCTCTCTTTACTTCTTACCCCCTTCTCTGTTTTATCTCCTTACTGTTTATCATCTAGGACATAGATATGTATTTATGTTTTTAACTGTGTATCTTTCCCTAATAGAATAGAAGCTCCACGAGGGCATGGATTTTTGTCTATTTCATTTCTTCATGTGCCCCACCGCACTATTAAAACTGTGTCCATATAGTATATGGTAGGTGCTCAGTAAAAATTTGCTGCATAAATTAATAATCCCTAAAAATAACTCTTCCATATTACTAACAAGGAAAATTATGCACAAAGAAATTTGCTTTCCAAGGTCACCCAAGTAGGGGGTTAAAGAACTGATTTTAAATTCAAGTGTATTTAGATTCACCGCTCCACTATATGTTTTTAATTTTTTTTTTTTTTTTTTTGCCCAAGGTATGGGGGAGGTACTGCCCATCTTACGACAGAATGGAAGGGGCTAGGTTCTGTCCTCCTCACTTCTTCCCTTAACAATTTGTCTTATTTGTTTGGTATATTGAAGCTTGGTATGAGGCTTTAAAAAAAAAAAAAAAAAAAAAAAGTCTTTCCTTTTCCCCTAGCAATTCCTCTTATTTGTTTGGTATGTTGAGGCATAGAATGAGGCTATTTTATTTTTTTTCTTTTTCTTTTTTTGTTTTTTTTTTTTTAATTAAGGTATATTGCCTTTTTTTTTTTTTTTTGGAAAGATTTATTTATAAACAATTATACTACAGCAAAAATTATGCAAAACTGAATTTAAATTTCTTTTTAAAATATACAAAAATATTGTGATTGGGGATGCTCTTTAAAGTTTGGAAGAGGCAAGAAAATATTAAATATTAGAACTAAAAGCTAATATGTTCACATATATGTATGAGAGCTTTTAGCGTGAGTTAAATATTATTAAGGTATGTATATGTTTATTGCAGAGAGTAAATGGTATGTGTTGCCTCCTCCAAAAGCCAAAATTAGGTTTCTTGTGGAAGTTAAACTCCTGAGTACAGGGACCACAACAGAATAATTCACACTGTAGTGCTTGGTAGGTATTGGGGAATGAGTGGATAAACTAGATTATGATCTCTTTGAGGGAGAGATTCTGAGCATACTTCTATTAAGTGGTAGGCAGGTGATGAACTCAGCACACATTTGTTGAGTTATTATATACTTGGCATTGTAGGAAGATAAACAAAGAGCTTATCCCAAGGACATTGTTAAATTGCAAGAGCCTTTTGTTCATGCATTTGATATTTCTTGCTAGTCTCTTGAGGGTGACTCCCTGGTGGACTGTGGATCTCATCTAGTGTGGCATTACCTTCAGATCTATTCAAATTATGTGTCTGTCTCTAGAATCCTAACATGCCAAATGGGTGCAAAAATTAGTACAGAGGTAAATTGCGTTGCATTTTGGAAAAGATTTTATTTATTCAACCTGATAGTTTGTATTTATTTAACAAATACTGCCCACATAAGTTATCTCATTAAAGTTGTGACACAACCCTTTGATACAAATACAGTTCTTTTCCCCATTTTGAGGAAATTGAGACTTAGAGACATCCTAAAATCATGGTTGAATTAGGTGATAGGATTGGGATTTTAGCCAGAATGGTCCAACTCTAAAACCCATGTTCTTACCATGTTCTAAAAACATATGCTGTGTTGCTTTTCATACTTTTTCTACTGCAGATTCGTCTGTACATTTTCAATTTTTAAAATAAAGGTGGTTTATTTTCTCTTGAGAGTCTTATATCAACTGATATAATACATCTAAACATTGTAAGGACTGTGATGAAAACCTAGCTGCTAAATGAGGAAAAGATCAAGTTTAAATCCTCGGTTGTCAGGAGTAAAACAATGGTGGAGGGTGCCTTCTGTGCTGTTAGCAACAAGCTTTGAGCTCTCATAAATCACAAGGATGTAACTGGAGCCTTAGGAGGAAGCGCATTATATTACTAATGGATCATCCTGCAGGAACACAAACAAGACATAAAAATAAGTGAAGTCCTTGATGACTCTTTTGTCTTTCTTCCCAATCATCATTATTCTATTATTAACATAATCTTAAGACAGTTGGTTATAATTTGTATCCTTGTGGAATTTCTGTTGGGCTATTGGGGTTTTGTTTTGTTTTAAAGTAAGTACCTCCTAAATAAGAACTTTTAGCTAATTAAGTGAGTGAAAACCTGCAGCTGTTAGACCAGTATGTGGGTCTGTGAAAGTGTAACATCACGAGCTTCCTTTCTGTCACTCACGAGAAGCTGATAACTAATTGGCATTCTTAGTGTAGAACTATGATTGGTAAGCTTCTGTTAGT